TTTTGTTATGTCTGTAGACAAAAATTATCGCAAATTTAGCCATTGTCTACACACCGGTCATTCTGCGGATTTTAAATCCACGTCGAAAGGAAACAGTCCATTTTCCACGTTTTTGCGTGTCAGAGTGTTAAAGTAAAATTAAAACAGAGATCTTTATCATTCAGCGGCTTCTTTTCTAGGAGGGGGTGTTGTGGAGTAACCCGCTCTAAAAATTACCCAAAACAGAAAAACCGCGATAGATTTCGATCACAACCGAAAACCGAATACAAAACGATCATAACCGAAGTTTTATACAGATCAATTTTCAAAACCCTAGTCTAGATGTCAAACGCTAATGATATGTGGAATATAGAGACCAAACGGTAAATTTGAAGAACAGTTCCCAAAAAAATCTGTGGGCCGTCTGTCGGTAGACTTGGGGAGCTGTTCTTCAATTTTGTCGTGTAAACAATATCACATCATCAAGATTTTAATATCATCTTAGTATCAGCACTATCCATGGATGCTATGGTCGTAAAACCGGTATATCTGCCCTCGATTGAAGTAGCAATAGAAGACAATGAGGGAAATTTTGCGTTTGCAAAAAGCTCTCCTATAGCTATAAACCTCAATCAAAATTCCAGAATCCTACATTGCAATTTGACCTGGATTGACTGTAAAATAGAAACAATTATAAAGTAGCCCAACATTTGACTACACAAAGACCCACAGAGGAATCTCACCTGCTTAATTTTTGCCAAAAAACCGGATTCTAAAAAAGCGAAAAACGGGAAACCGCAGCTGACAACAAAACGTATAAACCGAAGTTTTTCAGGGCAAAAACCGAAAAACCGACCTACAAAATGGCCAAAACCGAAAATCCCAAAGCCCCCCCTCTAGCAGTGACTGAACAACTAAAAGGGATTTTGAAACCCCATTAGAATTGGGGAACTTCGTACATTTTTTGCATGGCCTTGGGTACAGTGTGTGTTTTAATGACGTGTATACACCATAATCCTATCTCATGTCCGTATGTGGAATAGAATAGTTAAAAGATAAAAACTAACAAAAAACTAAACAACAGTTTCGATTCTAGAGTTTTAATTTTTTTCTCGGGTTTGTCGATCAGTAATCAGACTTATGCTGATTTGGCGTCCCTCAAGCATGTCCCGTGGATCAACAGACAAAATACAACCGAGTATAACCACTTTCAATAAAGTTTGTTTATATGACCTTTACGAATTTTCCGGTTCTTGACAATCGAAACAGAAATTTAAAGAAACGTTTAAATACCTCTTTCACTTTCACATTGCACAGCGCATCCCAAATTTAACATGTTGCAGGTTCATATCGTGTGGTATCAAGCTTATTGTCTCGAATAATTTCCATTCCTTGAATACTTTCACCTTCTTTTAGATCAAAATATTCGGTTTCTCGATCGAATCGTTTGGCAAAAGACTCTAAAGAAACTGGTGCATTCTGAGGAACTTGTTGGTCATGCCTACAACAGCACTATAATAATGCCACACTCATTTCTTCGGCATATCCTAACAGAAAAGGTATCCCTCTTTAACAGATTCTTAACATACCTAGTTTAAAACTTTTCATCCCTTTTAAATGCTGTAAATCCGTTGTCGTTTGAATGTGAATAAATCGCAAGACCAGAAAGTTTTCTCGACTTTTTCCAGTCATAAAATGCACCTGTTGGGTCTTTTTGGCCTTTTTACAGACCGAAATGAGAGATTTCCCTAGCCGGCTTTCATATTCTTCAACTAGCGAAATTTCTAGCCTGAAAAAGGTACAGTATGCGGTCCTTGGTCCGGCCGGTTTTACTTTGTGATGTAATTTTAAGGGAAGAAAATAAGGTAGCCTGTTCGTCTCAAGTTTCTAGTTGAGTGAAACTAGAAACTTGAGCCTGCTCTCGCACGCTAATAATAAGGTTACAATACAAACGAAATTTTCCGAGTGTTCATTGATCTATTCGCCTTCTTAAGCTCGATTCGAGGTTTTCCTGAAGCTAGCGAAGGCTGGAAAATCAAGTTAACGCGAACTAAGGTGGATTTTTGTTTTTTTATGGCGCCTTAAATTACTTGGATCCATGAATTTAGACATATACAATCAGTACAAGAAATGTTCTTTGACATTGTTTCAAATGGTTACAACATTGTTCCAACATTCCAATGCTGTGTTGCGCTAAAAATCGTCGTTACGAATCAGTCTCCTGTAACATAACCTTTAAAGACATAAAACTTCCTAATGGGAAGTTTTTCTTGAGAACTGTGAACAAGCGACGACAAACTTTTCTTTCTCTCTAAAATTTGATTGAATTCATTCAAACTGGTTGCGATTTCGCTACCGTCGCATCGCAACTACACAACATAGTCATTCGTACAGAAGCGAAAATGATAATTCTTCATGAGACCAAACTATAGCTCTTTACACAGAAATCTCATTTTGGTTTGGAAGTTTAATGCTGTCTATAGAAAACATACAGGAATTTAGATCAGGTGGTGCTTGGAACATTTCTTTTTGCGCACAGTTTCCATGCCGGCTTACAAAGTCGCCATAAGTGGCCGG